CGTATCAGGAAGGTGGGCACCCACTGATCTGATTTTTAGTTCTTTGATGTCTGATAACTGGTCCCTTCTGCACCTTGTGGTCAGACAGGCTGGTGTGCTTCTTCCATGTGGGTTTTGATGCTTCTCAGCTGGGTGGCCGCTTGTTTATCTTCAAGCCTTTAAGACCCCAGACACCATATCTTTTGATAGCCGGGCACCATTAGCTTTCTTCACCACATTTGCTTATGCACACATTTTTCTTCAGTGATTGTGTCAGTAAAGTGGGCACCCACTGATATGATTTCCAGTTCTTTAATGTCTGATAACTGATCTCTTCTACACCTCGTGGTCAGACAGGATGGTGTGCTTCTTCCATATGGGCTTTGATGCTTCTCAGCTAGATGGCTGTTTGTTTGTCTTCAAGCCTTTAAGACCCCAGATGTTATATCTTATGGTAGCCGGGCACCATCAGCTTTCTTCACCACCTTTGCTTATGTCCACATTTTTCTTCAGCAATCATGTTGGTAAGGTGTGTCACAAACTCTTATGCAATCTTTTTAGAACCTCTACATAGAAAGCTTGATTAACAGTCTGACCTGGTGGAATGATGCACTACAAGTTGACATCTTCATCCTTTTGGGAAGTGGACAAACAAGGTTTGTCATCAATTGATATTTCACTTTCTTTGAAAAGAGAAAAACAGCCATACACTTGAGTTTTCCCTATAGTGTTGTCCTTGTAAGCTGTGTTCAACATCAAAACAGTCTCTGAAGCATTTTTCCCAAGCTGGAAACAAAATTTCACAGCCATACACTGTTCTCTTAAATCAGCCATCACAAAAAACAAGGTTTGAGCGAAACTGTTTTTATGAAAGAAATCACTGTGACCAGAGAGAACCTTCCCAAGCTATGCCACTGGGTGCACTAACTCAGAGTGAAGTTGCTCAATTCTCACCTAGCAGGAAAAATGCATACTATGAAAACTACTTTCTGCCCAGCTCAATTCTGATTTTGGTGGATGCCCCCTCACATATCACTGTTTGTTATCTGTAAGTTGCTATGGCCAACTTTCATATAACAGATGAATAGCTAAACATTGCCCAGTCCTGCTCCATGTTCATGATCATGTTTAAATGCAATCCATCTTACTGGAGGGTTTCTCTCAAGTTTTCTGGCCCTCGATAGGCAACACTAGTTTACAATAATATCGACAGTGGAATTCAACACCTAGGAATAATAACCTTTCAGTAGTT